CCGATATCGATACCAATCATATGGTATCGATACCGAGCCTCCAGTATCGATACTACAACACTTAGTGTCGATACCAGGGGACCAATATCGATACCAAATTCATCTTATATCGATATTGATGCTTAGAAACATACTATTCTGCTCGTGAAACACCTAAAACTCACCCTAATCCCTTGTTTTAAGGTCTAAGTTGATTATTAAAGCTTATGAAAGTTATTAGGGATCATTATACATCATTTTTACACCAAAAAATCCATTTTAACAAATCAAGCACCCAAACCCCGCAAGCTCTTCCACCCCCATACAAGAAAGTGAACTCATGTATATAACATACAAGTAATAAGAAAGAGTTAAAATGTGTTACCTCAGCTCATAGTAACCCAAAAATGTCTTTAGCTTAATCAAGGATAAACTTTTCTTTAACTTAGCTCAATGGGTCTTTGCACCACTTTTTCATCACCCAAAAGCCAACCAATGATTCCAACATGAAAAACAAGAATAGTAGTTAAACAACAACTAAACCACATGAAAAACTAATGAAAATCAAAGGATGGAGCCTTTGGGGCTCAAACCCTCCTAAAACTCCATGAATGCTCAAGAACACCCTTTATGGGGATGGTGAGCTTTTCATGAAGTCCAATAACTCTAGATCATGAATCTTACTTATAGATTTTCGAATGAGGAAAGAGATGAAGAAAGATAAAGGATTTTTGTCATTTTTGCTTAAGAGAGAAGAAGACGACCAAATAAAGACAAGAAAGATGGAATAAGTGAGGGGAAAAAGCTTTTCTAAGCTTTTAGCCTAAAAAGGACGTCCATGTCACCCAAAAATCCCTTCAAATCTGCCATGTATTTTCCAAATGGGTAAATAACACTTTAGGTCCCTTTACTTTCATCGTAAGCTTAAAAATCCCCTTTTTATCTTCTTCTAGGCTAATTTTATTACCCAATTAAACTCACATTTGAACCAATGGATCCTCATGCTATAATAAATATACTAAATAAATTTTAGGCTGACACAAAACTACTAGACCGGTATTTGGGGCGTTACATAAACTATATATGTAGTACCTAGACTATTAATTTTGGTCTATTTTAGTACCTAAACTTTTATTTTTTTTTTTCAAATCATACCTAACGTTTAGTTTTTTTTTCTCATTTAAGTACCTCACTGTTAAAAAAACTTAACACATTTAATACCTAAACTATTAGTTTTAGTCTAGTACCTAAACTTTTAATCTTTTTCAAAAATGAACGTTAAATTTTGAATAAAGGTAATAAAACAAAACAAAAACTAAACTTCATGTATGATTTTGAATTTGTTTTTGAAAGTTTAGGTACTAAACACATAATTTAACCTAAATCTTGATTAAATCTAGTCCATTTATTTATTTAAATCAAATGGTTATAAATTAGTGTAAAACTTATTAGTTTTACATAGTGTAAGCAAATCTTGTGTGTGTGTATATATATATATATATAGATATAGATATAGATATAGATATATATTTCATGTAAAGTTAAAAGATTTACTCAAACTTAAAAACAATCAACTAATTATTAACAAAAAATAGATTATTCGAATCTTATTTCATAATTTGATTTGAATTTAATTTTTTTTTAAAACTCAAATCGAATTTATAAAATTATGAATAAAATAAACTTTCAAATTTTAAATTTTTTAAATCTTTTCGAGTATTACTCATCTTTATTCCCAATACAGCAACCACGATTTACATTTAGTAGGGACAAATGATCAATCACAAGGGAACAAACATAAGTCAACATAACATAAGTCATATCGTATTCATAGTTCATGAGAATTTCCATTATTAATCAAATCATTGGCAATATAGAATGCTTATGTTAGATTACTCTCACTCATTAGGTATTGTGCATATCAATATGGGGTATTTGTATGGGTGTATTGGGTTTGGTTAGGTTTTTTTATTAAAATAAGAATCGAATCATACTTTGCAGATTTTTAAAAATTGAAATCGAAACTGAATAACCATGATTTTCGATTCGATTCTATTTGACTTGATTTTTACGATTTTTGACTATTCATTGGTTTTCAAACTTAATCTTCAAAAAACAAATGTAAAGCTTAAATCGAATGCAAATATATAAATTTAAATTTATTAAAAATATTATTAATTTTAAGATTTTATTTATTGAAATTTATCATATAATAAATTCAAAATGAATTGCTTTGGATACTTAAGTCGGTTTGTTAAAGAAAATATTTTCTTTTCTTATTTTTTTATTTTTATTTTCAGAAAATAGTTTTCATTTTCAGTTTTATGAAAATTAGAAAACATGTTTGATTAATATAAATGAAAACTTGAATCCAAAAATAAAAATAATGAAAAAAATATTTTATTTCTATTTTTTAAAAATAAAAATAAAAAATAGTTATTAAATAATTAAATTAAAGTATAACTATTAAAAATTATTATATTAATTTAACATATGAGTTATGCAAATATAAAATAATAAAGTTGATAAGAAATTTCATAACACAAATTATATTAATTTATAATAAGAATACAATGTTAATGCTTCTAGACATCAATTAAATTTTAAAAAAAATAAGAAAAATATTGTTATAAGCAAGAGCACACAAAAGTGTCATCAAAATAAAAATATATTGTTGAGATAATTGAAGTCCTTAAACTTTTGGGTAAAACTAGTGTAGTTCCTACACGCTTTTTGCACTTAATGTGACTCTTGAGCTGAGAAGAAAAAAATTCAATCTAACGTTTTGACCGACAAAAGTTGATTGTCACGATGTTTACATGACAATTTATGAAACTTACATGACAATCTACAATATTTTGATGTGATGATAGTTCACAATATTATTATAATAGTACACAATGGACGATTATGTAGTAGATGAATTTCATTGTTTTTTTGGCTAACTTTGAGGGCATAATTCATTTAAAAAAAATAAGACTTATTTAATTTTTAAAAAATTAAGAAATTATTTAATTTTAAAATAAAAGCAATTATTAAAGTATTCAATACGTTAAATATAAAAATACTACAAAATTAAAGTGTTAAAAATCAATTTAAGGATAACATTAACTTAAAAAAAATTAAGGGACCATTTTGATTTTTTTTAAGTTTGAGGATTTCAAATACCATTAATTTAAAAAAAAAAATGTTAGAAGGATTCGAACTCATGTAAGTTAAAAATCTATATCCCATATATTTCTATTTTCTAATTTTTCAAAATAATTTTAATGAAAACACTGAAAACCTATTTTTTTATGTTTTCATATTTTCACTTGTTTATGTTTTCATTTTTTAGAACTTGTTTTTTAAGTTCACAATCAAACACGTTTTCTTCAACATTTTCTATTTTCTAGGAAAATGAAAATAAAAAACCTATATTTTCTAGAACCATCCATTTGGTTCTAGAAAAATATTTTCTATTTTTATTTTTATTTTCTGTTTTTGTTTTTAGAAAATAGTTTTCATTTTTACTTTTTTGAAAATTAGAAAATTTGTTTGGTTAATATAAATAAAAACTCGAATTAAAAACTAAAATACTAAAGATATAGTTTATATCTAATTTTTAAAATAAAAAAAGAGAATAGTTATTAAATAATTAAATTAGATTATAATTATTAAAAATCATTACATAAAATTTAACTTATGAGTTATATAAATATAAAACAATAAAACCATAAGAAATTTATAACACAAAATTTATTTTTACTTTATAACAAGAATTGAATGTTAATGCATATTAGACATTAGTTAAATTTTAAAAATACACAAAAATAATGTTATACGTAATAGCACACAAAAGTGTCATTAATATAAAAAAAATATGGTTAGTGCCTTTGAGAAAAATAATTAGTGTAGTCCCTAAATTTTTTTTGCACCAAATGTCATCGTTAAACTTAGAAAAAAATAATCTAATCCTTTGAACAACATAATCAAACGTTGACCATCATAACACTTACATGATAGTTCACAAACTTACATGGCATTCTACAATATTGACATGATATTTCACGATACTATTTTGACAGTACTCGATGGATAATGATGTGGTAGATGAACTTAATTAATAATTTTAGAAAGTGTGAGAACTTATTAATTTTTTAAAAAATAAAAATTTATTTAAATTAAAATAAAATATATAAACAATTATTAAGGTATTCAATATAAAATTAGTACAAAATTAAATTATTAAAAATTACTTTAAAGATTACATTGTGTGTATAAAAAATTAGGTACATATTGATTTTTTTACAAAAGTTTGAGGGTTTCATAAACCATTAAATCAAAAAAATTATTGTTAGAATGATTTAAACATGTGTAAAATAAGTTAAAAATCTAAATATAATGTTTCCTTATTTTTTGGATTTTCAAAACAATTTTAAATGATATTGAAAACAACAATTTTTTCACTTGTTTTTATTTTCATTTTCTATAAATCATTTTTCAATTTTACAATCAAACACGTTTTCTTCATCGTTTTCTATTTTCTACGAAAATAAAAATGACCAAACAGACCATTTTTTCTTTTATTTTTAATTTAATTTAAATGGTTTTCATATGAAAAATCGAAACCGAATCAAATTCTATATTTATTTTTTAAAACCTAACCGAAACTGAACTACATACTGAAAAACTCAAACCGAATCAAACTGTCCACTCGATTTCATTACTAAAGAAAACAATGTCAATTTGTCAAGAAAGAATCGGCAAACATGGAACCAAAAAAGCGCAAGAGAAACCAAAATGGTAGAAAATTAAATGAAAGATGAACTTGCGGTCAAGGAAAACAGCAACCAAGATGGTCTCAACTTGAAAAGTTCACATCTTAGCACAAGGCAGCAGAGAGTAACTCGATGGTGCACGGATTTTATTAGATAAAAAAAAATGCAATGTCATTCAATGATATATATAAGAAATTACAGCACAGCACAGCATAAAAGCTGCTAGCAGATCATTGGTTTATATAAACATGAAGAGTGGAAGAGTGAGGAGCTGAAAGCAAATGTGAATTACGAATAAACACATCCAAGAACTGTGAAGATAACAAGTAAAACGGAGAATGTAAAGATAATAACATTAACCTGAGTCTGTAACCACTTTGCAACCTGTAACGATCGCATGCCATGGTGACACTGCATTATACATTTTAACACCGATTAAAACGGAACATTGGAGGAACAATGAGAGAGAAGCATAAAATGCAAGAGAGACTATTGGATATTAAATGCTACAAGCTACTTCTACTTAGAAAAAGGAAAACTTAAGGAGAGGGAACCTCCCCCTTGTTGTGGTAAATATTTTTATCAGGGAAAGACAAGAAAGGTGAGAATCCCTTACTTTCCCTCTAAATATTCAATTTCTTTATACCCAATTTAGAGTAAACAGAGAATAAAGGAAAGGTCAACTTTTTTTAATTAGAAAATATCTTTTTTACCCTTTCATAATTTACTTGAAACATTTTATGTTTTTTTAGAAAAAAGATACAAATGAAACAATAATATTTGTAATAATCATTCACTTTCTTTTCACTGTTTAACCAAAATGGTTACTAAAACTCCTTTCATTTCCTTTATTATTAGTTATCCAAACACAAGGCAGGAAAATCGTTGAGGTGCAGAAGCTCATGGCTGGCAGACTCTTTCTTAAGCGTCCACAAATTGTTAAAAGGGAGACTTCAATGAGATACTGTAAAAGATAACAGTTATTAATCTCCCCAGGGAATATTTGATTAGCTATTATCAGGATTATTTGATGTCTAATCTAATGAACAAAAAAAATCTCCTAGATTTGCAAAAGGCTATATAATTAACCACATCTTCCCCATCAATAGCATGAGAGAAGTCCCCTCTCATCAAGACATGTCAGGACCGGAATAAGGCTTTCCAGTAGGTCATTACCAAAACAACAATAAACCTCCTATTCTTGTTGCAACTGCTCTCACAATCGCAGACCATGAACTTTTTCGACCACAACAGTTCCCTAGTCAGTTAACAAGAAAATAGAAATGCAACTAGAAGACACATACAAGAAAGAGAATATTCTCGTCACGGTTGAAGGGAAGTTGCTCTTCTTGATCCACAATAGTTAGAATTACGCTTAAAGCTTCTTTTGCTTTTATTAATTCTTTCACACAATTTATTACCAGATGTTATTCATTTGGTTAGCTAACTGCGGGAAAAATGGCTGAATATCTTGGCATCGACAAGAAAATACTCACCATGACATATGTATCCTTCATTGGATCAAGTTTGGTAGTTATTTCAGGCCCCCAACTTCCAAACTGGCGTAGAGGAAGAACTTGGAATCCTGGTAAAGATGCTTGAGACCTTCCATGTCAAAAAGATTTGAGACAAAAATTAAAGAAGCCATCATCCTCTTCAAAGGCAAAAACAAAGAACACTGCCTTAGTATGAAATGTTCAAACTCTATAATGCCTCAAGGTGATATAATTCACTAATTGAATTATGGTTAAAACATTGTATTGTTTGATGTTGTGATGCAAATAAAGGTAAACTTCAGGTAGCAAATGCTGCAAACCTAAAAAATAATTATGGTTTATGAAATGCCATAATAGAATCATGATCATTAAAGAGACTTCAAAAATGATTTCAGCCAAATACTATAATGATTAAACTGTCCGTGCAATTCCACTTTCCTTGCAGCTTGTTTCATGACCTAACGCCTAAAAGCTTCATAGAAATGCTTAATCAATTAAGAGTTGAAATTCTTTTTGACCATATCACCTAAACTAAGACTTTAGAGTAGTTTTCTTACAGCATTTAGTGTTGCTACACTATAATTGCTAAAACTTTCATAACTAGAGGAAAAAGTTGATCTAGCAACTTTGTTGTCAATCTTATCCATCATTTAAAAATATAAATATATAAAATCCAAAAAATCTTGTTTTTCCAATTATGTAAACACACAAAATAAAATATGCAAGCATACACTTCTTCAGGTTCCCTGACATCGATCAACTGAGACTCTTCAATGAAACTAGGGTCCTGCATTTTTGCTCGAAACTCCTCTGGTTGAATGTCTTTAAGCAATGACTCTTCCCTGAAGCAAGCTAAAGGAGAGTTAGAACCTGCTTAGCTTCTTCAAGTACAGGTTTCAATTGTGTAAGAGTTCCAAGGAATACCTCTCAGATAGAACTTGTAACAAGTGCCATCCAAAATTAGTTTTGCATTTCACGACTTTGTTTAAAGGTGCACTAAAAGCAGCCTCCTCAAATTCTGGCACCTTTTACCATGAAAAAGAAAGATCCATGGATCATGTTTGCAATTAAATTGTCAACCCTTCTCTACTTGTCTATATTGTAGTTAACATAAAAGAAAATCTGAATGGCCATATTTCATAAAACTAATAAATAAATTCCAAAAACAAAATCAGTACAGCAAAAAGGGAAAAATGCATAGAAAGCCAGCAAAATATAATGAGAGTGAAATCTAAAAATAATACCAAATGAGGTAAAATCTTCAAATTCAAGCACTATGTCATAGTTCATATAATTCAAAAATCCAAACTACGAATAGAACTTTGAAAGTTGCTACCACAAATTTAAAACCAACTAGTTAACATTGTCTCTTGCACAGGTTCGAACCCTCAAAACAGCCATCTATTGAAAACAGGGAGTAAGGCTATACGCATCAAGACCTTGGTTATAGTGGGAGCATATTGCACTGGATACAAAAAAAATTAGCTTTAACTTTTCTGAATTTTTCCACATATTTGGAGGTTTGTTCCTCCAAATCCATGCTTACAGACACTTAAAGAAAAAGGAAGAGTTGAAACAAAATAGAAGATTCTTAGTATATTTTTTAACTCTTCAAAGAATAAATGCATATAAAAAAAGAAGGGGAAAAGAAGTTGAACCAACCTACCATTTGTCCCTTTCTTACCCATCCAAGCATTCCTCCCTCTTGCTTGGACGGACATATCGAGTATTCAACAGCAAGATCACCTAAATCCTCCCCTTAGCAAACAAATAACAAAAAAAAAAAGTTAAATTACTTGTTACAGTTAAACATCACACAAGCAACATCAAAATTGGTTTTAATCTATGCTCTATTTTGTTGTTGCCTTGAGCATTTAATTTCCTCTTTCTAGAAAGATGCTATAATGCAAAAGCAAATGTTAGAAAGTTGAATAAAAAATTAATCAAAACTGAGCAACTGACCAAATACAAGACCAGTTCCAATTATCTTATATAAGGATAAAATCATCAATTGTTTTGAATTTATATAAAAGAAAGCCACTTCTTCAGATTTTAACTTCTTACATTCTAAGTTACCCTAATACAACCATAGCCCCCTTCTTGAGGTAGTAATGAACAATTCCCCAAAACGTGATTAGGGGTGTTCAATCGGTCAGTTCGATTAATCGACCGAACCGAACTACCTAAAATTCATTAACCGAATTCTTTTTCCCTTTAACTGTTAACCAAACCAAAAGTTTTTCAAAAAATTATAACTGAAAAGTTCAGCTAATTCAGTCGGTTAACCAAAATCTTTTGTAATTTTTTAGTTAGATTAATTTGAATTTATTAGATGTATTTTTCTTCATTTAGGTTAAAATTTGATTGGATATTAAAAATTCAATAGACCTAGTATAATTAAAAAAATAGTTTGATCTTAATTCTTAAAAGGTTTGACTGTTTGAGCTTAATATATATATATCGATTAATTAATCAATTTTGAACTTTGAAAATTTTCTTAATAGTTAACCAAATTAATATCAAATTAACCGACCGATTAGTCTGACTAAATTTTAATTTAGTCGACAATTCAATTAAAACTGAATAATGAAAACCCCTCTAAATGTTACATTTTAAAAATAGCATTCTCTAAACTCAAAATATTCAGCTAATTAAAGTTTGAAAAGAAAAGGAAAAAAAAAAACCTCCTGATATTCTCTGTTGAAGCTCCACCAAGAGATTCTGGTCGTCTACTTTTAAAAGCAAGTGCTGTACCAATATTTCTCTGCTATCTCCATAGCTACTCTCGGAGTTAAATGAAGCTGAAAAGGAAAACAAATTAGAAAAAAGAAGCAAAATAAAAGAAAACAGGAGTTTTGATAGAAATAGCCAACCTGATAGTCTGAGTTGTGGATGACCCACCATGGGAGAGACTTGCCTGAGGGTAAGTGTTGAAGGAAACGGGCGGGAAGGAGTGATGGGTCTGGAGAAGAAAGAGTGAGAAGCAGAAAAAGCGGAGATTCTGTGAAGAGAATTATAAGAAGGAAAAGAGGAGATGGTGAGGATTGGAACCAAAGATTTCCTAAGAGCAACGAAAGCTGTGGGCGACGCTATGGGAGGGAAATGAGCTGCTCTTAACATTTTTCACTCACTGTTTTCGCGATTCTATTCCGAGTTGTTCATGGGTGATTCACCTCGTAGATTGTTCATTTAATACAAGAAACGTCAAGCGGGTTTGGGGATAATTGAAAGAGAAATTTGGATATTCCATCGATGACACTGGCTGGCCCAATTCTTACTGAGAAGTTGACTCACTGAACATCGAGTTCTTCTTATTGGACTCAAGAAACTGGACTTTGATGGATCTGAAACTCACAACCTAAACACTCTTTGAAAGTTACGGGCATTAAGATGTCGAGTTATCACGGTGTAAATGTGCTACTCTCATTTACTCTAAAGCTCATATAAAATTTAAGATAAACTATATCATTGACCACTTAATTACGTAATCTTTTTACTTTTATCATAATTATATTATGACATATGTCACAATATGATTGAAATGTATTTTTTAAATTTAATCATTTTATTTCTCACCCACCAAAGTGAGGTTAGAGAAATTGAACCTAGGCAAAGTTGGTTAATAAACTAATGCCCAAACCATCAAGCCAAGAGCACTACTTGGTTTCAAAATGCAACTTATAATATATAAGATATTGTAATGAATGAGAACAAAAGTTAAAAAAGAAGTAATAATATATATATATATATATATATAATTCAATTTATTTCTTTAACAAATATATAAAATTATTTTATAAAGTTAACAAATATATATATATAATCATTAAATTTATTTTTGTAATTTAAGTAATAATTTTAATTTTCATACTGATGATTATATGTATATAAATTAATTTACTTTTATTAAAATATTTATGAAATTATTTTTAAAAATTTAACTCAAAATTATTTAAAATTTAAATTATTTGATAAATTTAACAACAATATATATATATATATATAATCATTAAATTATTTTTTAACTTAAATAACAATTCTTTTTTTTAATTTTTTTTCTTCATTCATTACAATATCTTATATATTATATGTTGCATTTTAATACCATGAGCAATGCTTGGTGGTTTGGGCGTTGGCTTAGAATCCAACTTGCCCAGGTTCGTTTCCTCTAACTCCCACTTTGGGGGGTTTTTTCTTCTATTTTCAATCTAATCCGATGGTGGCATGTGTCACCATATGATTGAGTAGAAAATAAAATAATTAAATTTAAAAAATACCTTCCAATCGTGTTGTGACACGTGTCACAATATGATTAGAGAATTAAATTTATTAAATTAAATTTAAATTATGACCAATTTGATAGAATATATAAACATTAAGGACTAAATATATAATTATGTCAATTTCTTTAACGGCCACGTCAGCATTTCCGTCCGTTATTAACGCTAGTGGATTGATTGAACACATCTAAATAGTTAAGTGGTCCAATTGACAAAAATGAAAGATTGATGACAAAACTAAAAGGACTACATAGTTGAGTGGTCAATAATATAGTTTAGCCTAAAATTTAATGTATTGGTATTAGAACCAAGTTGATAATATAATGTCTCTCTAAGAGAAATATTTAGGAATGATTTGAAGTATGTGAATTTTATATTGCATTTCTTATTGAAGAATAGTGTTAGAATTTAATTTTTAGTATATCTAGAGGTGAAATCAAGAGTTTTTATTGCCTTTGAGACCATTTGTGATTTCTGTACTAATACATGGTTTGTCTGTGTTAGACAGATCATTACAGGAATGATTAGATTGTTAAGAGAATGTCTCTTATCAAGTATCACATGATTTTGTAACCAAGTTAATCGTGATATAAATCATTAAGGACAAGACTGGTTTAAGTGGAAAAACCTCTTTCAAATGTGATATAACGACCGAATTAGTATATTATGTTCGTGATAAGTGGTCAATTAAAAAAGACAAAATAAAAAAAATACTAAATCAAACGTTGTTGGCCATAATTTTAACAGAAAATCATATTGAACTTGAACTAATTTATACATAAAGCATACATTCATTCTTTCTAGTATTTATATCAGAAATAAAGTCTAAATCAAGAAGCTTTCACTTCACATACTTAGCCCCGTATCCCATACAAAGCAACAACTTGGGTCTATATTTATAAGTGTGGTTAAGGTGACTTGAGAATTAGACACCCTCTTTTCCTCCTTGTATGGGGCAATACCCATGGCCTTTAAGCTAAATTTCCTTTTAAGTTTAGGCTTTGCTTCTGTTCTATCTCCACACCATGTGCCATTGTTTTCACTGCACATCATGGATCCACTCCTAAACAAAAGCTTCTTCATTTTCTGACCCTTTGTTTGTTGTTTTGCAATGGCCACACTTGGCTTGTTTTCATTGCCAACTTTCACTAGCCTCGCTCGTCTTGCGAAAACGAAACCTTTGGGTTCCGCCAGTTTCAACTGCCTTCTCTTTGCCTGCAGCTCCTTGCTCTCTGATACCTTGTCTGAGTTCGGATCGGATCGTTTCGATTGATCCGACAAGCCATCGGTCTCCCTTTCCCTGAACGGTGACATATACGGAGCTCGTCTATGGTTCTTGGCTTGGGATTGCCAGCTTTCTCTTCCTTGACATTCTTCCATGCCGCCATGAAGGGATCAAAGTCATATTCCTCAAGCTCCTACGTTGAAACGAAAGTCTTAGGCCACTACTAGGCGACGACGATAAACTCAAGCTTTGTTTATGATGATATTGAAGTCGTGGCGGAGGCTTCAACGGCATCACTTTCCAATCACAGAACAGCTCATCGGTAAATGCCATGGCGGGAATCGGTTCCTCCGGTTGGGACTCAACCTCGCATTCACCGATATTGAAACGACGACTAGTTTCAAACTCCAACTCATCACAATTGGAGCTTGAATCTTCATATGCAGCCTTGAAAGTCCTTTTAGTAGGACTTGTTGGGACACTAAAGAAACACAAACCTCCCACTTCCAGGCTGACTCTCCTGGGGCTAGTAGTTGCACTCATATACAAACTATCATCTGCCTTCCAAAACCCTTGGCTTGAAGTTGAAAAAGAAACCCCACATTACATATATATATACATACATAAATGGGTCAACGGCTTCCAAATTATACTTCAAAGATTAACAGACAGATATTAGTAAGATATTGAGGAGATATTCTGGGATTATGTCGCCTCCAACAATAGCTAAAGATTACCATTCAAAGTGGAAAACACTTGTTTATTGTCAAGATGTGAGTAAATATATATTGTAAAAGACTATGCCTAAGCTTCTTGTTTTGTGAATGATAGAGGACCAGATATTTGTCTTGAGCATTATCCGGCAGAGATACCTGGATTTGTAACTTGTGAGCAACTTATAAAACTTTATGGAAATGATTGCCAAGGACATCAAACACTTTGGGTCACGGAGTTTGATACTGATTTGAAATCACTAAACAATAGTAATGATTTCAGTCAACTTGAAAACATTTTACAAAACCTGCTCGTGACATGTTCAAACCAAATTATAAATCTAAATGTAATGCTATACACATATAAATCAAGACCCGTATATAAAATTTTTTAGTTTTACATTTTTTTTAAGATTGGAGTTAGTTGAAATATATGTCTCTAAACCTTTGAACGTTTTAATTGAATTCCCAAACTATGAATCATATTCTAAATTCGTCTTTAAACTTTTGAGGATTCCAAATTTATCCCCAAACTATGACTCTCATTTTATATTGGTCCCTAAACATTTAAATATTCTAATTAAATCTATAAACTTTTTAATAATTTAAGGGATGCTATTGAGACCTTTAGGGATGAATTTAAAATGAGTGACATAATTTAGGGATGAATTTGGAATATTTAAAAGTATGAGGATCAATTTAGAATGTGTCGTAATTTGAGGATAAAATTAGAATGTTCAAAAGTTTATGGACTAATTTAGAATGAGAACCATAATTTACCATAAAAAAGAGATAATCTTATTGTTTATTTCCACTCATCTAGTTATCTTAAAAAAGATATAAAATTAAAAGTTTTACACTAATAGTATATGGACCATAACCCTATATATTAATCACAAAATTAAAACACTAAGGTCAATTTCCCTTGGTTTAAGTTCAAGAAAAGACAGGAATTAGTTTATAGGTCTCATTGGCATTTGTTTGTTTGGTTATTTTCTCATTGGTGCATATGGAAGGGCCTATGAAGATGGATCCATTGCTTGTGGAAGATTGGTTCCCACTTCCCAAAAGTTTGTTGTTTCTATAAGTGCCCCTCCTCTCGTAATCAAGTTTATTGTCAAATAGTTGAGAGTCTTTAAAACGGATATTGTAAGTATACTAGATTAATCAAAAAAATTCATTTTTACTTTGATTCAACTTGAACCGTTAAATAAGGATGATTTGTATGGTCTATGGTATGAAAATAGGAAATCATTGAAGCAACATTTGAAATGGAAAAACATATTTTCATTACCAATAGCAATTCTTGCAGCATATATATCCTAACATCCACAATCATTGAATGACTTTAGATGTAATTTATCCAATTAAATGATAGTAAAATTTAATTTTAAAAAATATTAATTATTTTAATAGTATGATGTAACTATAAGATAACATATGTTCAAAATCTTTCTTAGTCGTTGACAATTCTGCATATATAACTCATCGAACATGAGACCTTTAAGAATAAGAACACTCAATTTTATGACTTGTTGAACCATGCTTTGAAATTTTGATATACCAAGAGTAAATAAGTTTAAAGAAATTTTAATATTATTTTTAATTCAGTTTTCAAGTCTATATTCGATTCAACCATTTGAATATAAAAATTCTTTTAAATCCAAGAACTACATCTTTACTCCTTACTCTTTTGAAAAACTCAAGTCATATACTGAAAATAATTTTGAAACGTTTTACAGAGGGTTTCGAATCCTAATCGAGTCAAAAATCAATTTTTAAATCTAGAGTACCGGTACTGCAAAAATAATATTGATAATGTTCATGTGATTCCAATACTGGTACCGATACTAATGTGTAAAAATACACTAAAAGTACTGATACCGATACTTTCTTTATGTTTTTGACAAACACGATTCTAGTAGGCTATTTTCATATCGA